TTTTTCGCACACATCACATTCCAGGCATGCAAAGTGCCAATAGGGTCCGCCTCCCCACGAGTCGAGACTTACATGGACCAAGTCCCGGTCGTCTTTTATGCTCTTGTGACAGACCTCGCATACCTCCAGCTGTGAGCGGTTGAGAATGGCAGCAGTGGGAAGATCCAAGTCTTGGCCCAGCACTTTTGCGGCTTCCGAAGCCAGTGGTGCTCCCAACTCGAATGCCTTCAGCAGTCTCAGAAACCCATCCAGACTAGGGTTTTCACCGCTTGCGGACTTCCCACAAGCTTGAACCCCTGCTCGAAGTAAGACAATTATCCGCTTGCTGAATTTTTCCACCGCGGCCTGTAGCTGTTGGTCGGTGGGTGCGCCTATGGACCACAGTGCGCGCGGACCGTTGGAAGCAGCATGAGTGCGAATGGCCTTGACAAACAGACTCAAGACACCTCGATGACTGGTAATTTCTCGGCCTGTGACCATTATGTTAGTACTCTTGGCAAAGACTCGTCCGCAAGGAAGGTATTTCTTTTTTTTTTTTTTTTTTGGTGGGAAAAAGAAACAAGAAGAAGAAAAAAAAAAAAAGGCAATCGCTTACTTGTTTGTAATCCGAAGCTGTCCAATCCCTCAAACAGCACACTCAGAAATCCCGCCAGGTCCCTGCCGGAGGCTATGAGATCTGTTGCCGGGCCCTGACGACTTTTCTGGAACACCTCGTGTTTGCGGCTGACAAGGCGATAATAGCCATCGAGAATGGAAAACAACTTATCCCTCTCCGTGTCAATGGCAGACATCCTCGAGACGAACTCATCGGGGTCTTCAATGACGACGCCGTGCTCATCACCCCACTGGCCTTGAATACGCTTCAGATGGGTCCCTCCCATGGACTCCCACCGCATTCCCCATCTGCCGATCATCATGTCGCATTCGGGGTGCCAGCACTCGGGTTGATCTCGCCCCTCTCTGTCGTTGGCTTCATATTCAACAAATCGCAGAAGGATGGGATATTCGCATCCGGCACAGTGTCTCGCGTGCATCGTGCTGTAGTGGTACTGGCAATACGGCGCGTTTTTATACTCGATGTAGTCGTCACTTGGACCGAACCTGACTGGGCAGTTGGCTACACAGCAGCCAAAGTGGTCGAGATGGTATTTTTTATTCGACACGGTGATGTAGCTTGCTCGCAGGGCCTTTCCACAAACGTGGCAAATAAGATCGAGCCGACGGAAGTAGTCGAATTCGCAAAGGAAGAGTCCCTCGTGAGGGAGGAATTTTTCGGCAGTGATTTCATTGCAGTCCTGTTTAACTCCGCGTCAATAGGTACACAACTGCTGATGCAGCAAACACTGCGAGCAACACAACATGTGTGAACAAGATTGAACGTACCGCACAGCGAAAACAGTCCAGATGAAATTGGGGCCGGTCGTCCACCGGAACGCGAACATATTGTCCCGTCAGTGGCTTTCCACATTTCTGGCAGGGCCCTTTGGGTGATTTCGATTTCTGCTTTGCATCTTTGGCGTTTGGTTCATCGATGGTTAAATCTGTCGGTCCGAGGTATGGACACTAGGGCGGTTTCCGCAGTTTCGACAGGTTTCTCGGTTTCCATGGTCCGCGTGCGTGTAAGTGGCCCGTTCAGAACAAGACCCTCCAAGTCATCCAAGGCAGCCGGAGTCCCAAGGTCCGAGGGCTGGCTTTGCCCAATCGTCAGGGCATCCGACAAGTCAATCAGGCCCCCCAGCTCTTCAACAGACGGCTCCGTCGTCTCCTTTGGATGGGTCCTGGCACGGGCTCGAGCCAGCGCTCTGCGATAGGCTTGACTGTTGATGATCAAGTCGTCAAACTCAAAGTCCAAGTCCGACGGCGCAACAACAGACACGGCATCTCCTTCCCAAATTATCGAGGATTCTCGACGGCCAGCGTAGATCGAATTTGCAACCATGACGCTTGGGTTTCTGGATCGCAGCGACTGTGTCAGATGAGCCGATGCCCGGACAACTTCCTGCTTCTGCAACAACATGTCCTTGATCTCTGCCAAGGTGTTCCTGTCGACGAGTTTAGCTGACCAATCAGCCCTGCTTTTGCACTTGAACCTACATCTGAAGAAGCTGGATAAGAGTCGTGATGGCCGTTTGCTGACCACGCATCGAGCTCAGCAAGTCATTGAGATGAGACTCGTTCCACACCATCCTTGCCCGCGAACGCCATCGAATCCGGCTGACATCCGCGGCACCCGCTGTGATACGCTGAATCTCGGCATCGAGACAGCTAAACACAACCATGCATCCCGTCAGAGCCTGGTCAAGAACCAGCGGCATCTCCGTGTGTTGCGACTTCCACACATGGGCAAGATCCTGCCGCTGCAACAGCAGGCCCTGGATCTGAGCCAGAGACGCAGATATCACGGTCGACTCGGAACATATCGCCACGATGATGACTGGCGTGTCCTGATACTTTTCTTGCAGGTCGTAGAGCTTTTTGATCGTCGTCAGGCACGTTCCCGTCGTGCTTGCCTGAAATGCGGGAAAAGGGGTAATTCTGTCAGCGACAAAACGTGAAAAGGGGTAGCACACTTTTGCGATACGTACCACGATGGAAGCGATGCTGATCGGGTCCATACTGCCTCCTCCGGGTCTTCTTTGTGAGGGAGTTTGTTCCAAAGAACGACCCGGAGCCTCTTGGTCTGGAGCTGAATTGGGGCTGAGTGCATTTCTCGCCAAGTCTGCATGCAGGCCTCCGGCACCATCCCGCGGTTCCTGGTCCAATCATGATGTAGAATCAGCAAGACATCGAAATCGAGCCATCAGAAGTTCACTCGCAATGACGCGTTCAGGGGTTTCACCATACATTCAGGGGCTATCATTAAAGCGTGCTGACAATGGTCTCAACTATCTTACAGTGTGTTCATTCAATATTGCCTCAGGTTCAAATAAAAGTCTGCATCCAACCTGGTATCGACTTTCCCGGGGCCTTCCACTGCTCGCGAACAACCGTGTCGACGTCTTTCACCACGCCCTTGACTCTGAACGTGGTCTTTGGGACATCGCGAGAGGCGAGGTAAAAGTCGGACCGGCCACGAGGGGCGCACTGGCGTGATATGGGTCGTTCCAGGTACATGTAATAGTTTGCACAGTTTGCGTCCAAGCACCAAAGCGACCCTCGAGTCTTGGAGTCGGCCCAGAGCTTGTAGGAGTTGGGATCAAGAGCCTCGAACCACGATGGGTCCAATGTGGACCAGGTTGGAAGGGTGCTGGCACAGCAGACGATGCTTCGGGCGTACGTGAGCTTGAGACATTTCTTCTCGGGCTGCTCATCGCACTCTTGCACCACCACTTTCCACCCGTAGCGCGTGCGCAATGAGACGCCCAGACTTGTCGTGGTGCTGTGAAAGGGGAGGGAATCTGTGCATCCTCCCACTTCTTCAGGGGGTATTATTGATGAGCGCTCCGGGTCGTCTCCGTCCTTGGGGACATGATGGTTGGTTGGGTCAAAGCACCTCATCTCGGGAGGGACTCCAGGGCCTGGCTGAGGAACAAGGTACTCGGCAACGCCCTTCCGCATCACCTGCAGGGCTGAGACCAGGCTTTCGACAGACACTTTCCCTTCTGTGTCCCTGGCGGGCTGAAGATGGCCAGTGTAGTTCATTACGAGAACGATGCTTCGGCCGCCTCCATGTCGCATGAGAATCGTGGCTGTAGGGCGCACATGTGACGGCTGTCGGTGAGCGGTGGGACGGCCAGCGTCTACACTGTGGCTGGGATGTCGACAGTCCTTGATGGCTTTTGCCGAAAGACCTGTGTACGCGCCTGTCTTGCTGTTGAAGAACTGGGACCGGACGGAAAGAAGCTCCTGCGAAGTGATGACCTCGTGTTCGCAAAGTCGGATGTAGCCTTGGTGTCCGATGCACGTCCGCTTCTCCTTGGCATCTTTCTGTCTTTCCGACGCCGAGAAGAAGGCTAGGGGGTGGTCAACCTGACAGACTGCGCAAAAGAGATGCTCGTTGACCAGATCCCATGCCGTCCTCGGATTTTCCGACTGAGCTATCCGGCACGATAGACACTGCTTTTGATGATTGTCCGATCTGATAAAGTAGCGAAACGTCTTGTCGTTGTCGTATGCCAGCCTTTCAAATTCAGCGCTCGCGCGGAGCCAAGGGAAATGGGGATAGCCAGGCTTGGTCGCCGGTCGAGTCTTGTGGTGCCACTCTCTGAATGCCTGGTCGGAAAAAAGCCGCAGAAAGATGCGATTCGTGCGCCGCAAGCACTGGAGGGTAGTTGGGTCCATGACCTTCATGATGGCGAGGAGAAGCTCCTCTGGGAGGTCGAGCAGCTGAGGTGACATCGTTTGGTGGGTGCTTCGGTTCGTTTCGTGTAGGAAGAAAAGATGAAAAGATGAAAGAGGAGACTGCGTGTCCGCGAAGAACAAGGAAAAGGGATCATCGAATGAAAAACGCCAGGCCCCAGCCACAACTTTATTCTCCCGAGCCGTAAGGTTTACTGTGCAATGTCACCAAATCGACCTCCGATCGGAGCCGTGCACCCCCTGAAGGGTTTTGTCAACGGCTTGCGCAACGCGAATCTGAACTTCTTGCACAGCGGGCCAGGCCGTTAAGCTGTAGGCACAGAGAGATCACTGGCATTCGCCGAAAACTGCTGGCATAGGAGCGTGCAAAGTGTGGGAGTCAAGATGACCGGAGTTCGGCTTCGGCACTCAGGGGAAACTCAACTCAAAGTTTGCCGCCACTGACACCACATGGCCCGACGCCGGTCCTCGGAACATTCTCGACAAAAGAAAAGCTCTGATTCTAGCCGTCATCTATGGGATATCTAATAAATACTAGTAGGATAGTAACAAACGAAATTGTACGTCAGTCATGTCGCAAGTCCGGCCGCTCCGTTCATTACCCCTGAGCTCCGCCTCGACTCCTCCCTGCCTGCCAAAACCCTGTGTCCCGCCCGCACAAATGCGAGAATAGTCCACCTGTTGTCAACAACAAATAAGAATCCCCTGTGGCGCAATTGGATAGCGCGTCGGACTGTTAGACCCTTCATCCCAAAGAAGGGCCAGACATCCGGAGGTTGTAAGTTCAAGCCTTACCGGGGGAGGCGCTTCATTTTTTGCACCTCCAGCTCCTTCCCTTCAAATCTTCTTCCCTCTTTCAACCACACACAAGAACCATCACGCCCCGTTTGCCCTCAACAACGCATCCACCTTCCTCTGCACCTCCCTCTTCAACACGCTCGTCTCCAGTTCCGCCGCCCTCACTTCCTCCCTCCACCACCACCCCAACCCCACCATCGCCCCCGGCCCCAAACTCAATCCAACTGCAGCCGCCCCGGCCACCATACCCATCCATCCCACCGCTACCGAACTGCCCTTGAGCGACCTCGGCAAATACCCCGACCCCTCCGTCACATAAACCCACCCCAACCACAGCGCCATCGCCCCAAACACAAACACCCAATCCCAGCGGAGGAACTGCGCCGAAAACGCCGTCAAGCTAGGGAGTCCCTCGCTGGGCGTTCCACTTGGGATGAAAATCCTCGAAATCTCCCCTCTGGTTTGAATCAGCGTCAACACCCACGACAAGGCACCAAGAGCCGTAGGGACGCCAATGGTGATGCGCATGAGCAAGACATCGCGGTTCAGTTTCGCCAGCGACGGAAGCGAGGGCGTCGACTCCGCGTCGGGTTCCGGTTCAGAGTCAGAGTCAGATGTCGCGGATGCTCTCGAAGACGGGGGACGCGTAGAGAGGGCTTCGTCCTTGGGAGCTGGCGAGAGGGAGGAGATGGTGTGGTAGGCGAGGCTGATATAGATTGGGAAGAGCTGCCAGATGGAGAGAAAGGCCTGTCGGTCGGGGAGGTCGGGGGAGAAGAAGGTGAGGAGGGTGGGGATGTAGTATCCCAGCAGGAGAGCGGGGAGGATGGGGGTGGTTGCCGATGGGAGGGAGTAGGATGGTGGTGGGGAGGCTGTGAGGTGTTGGAAGGCGTAGAGGGGGGCGACGACGCCGAGGCCGATGAGTTGGCCTGTCAGGGCGAGGAGGGAGGGGCTGTGAGGGTTGTTAGATGGTTGTGGTGAGTGATTAGGGATGAGTGGAAAGGGGGCGTACTATTGCAGATACAACGATTTCTGCCCGGAACGGAGAGATTCAAGCCACCAGATGACGAGGACCACGCCGCCGTCCGAGAGAAAAGAGATGACCTGCGTCCGGGAAGCCGAGTCATAGCCATACACGGCCGGCATGAAGAACATGTTGGCGAGGGAGACGCTAGCATCATGTTAGTGATGGTTCTCTGTATGGACAGGACAAAACAAACATGTCGTCTAACCCCCCGATATTGTAGAAATTCTGGAGAATGGGCACGCCGCGCCATCCATCGTTCCAGACGACGTTGCGCGAGTCGAGTTGGGCCTTGGCGAATGACAGGGCAGGTCCAATGCTCAGGAGGTGCGATGCCGCGATGCAGAGTCCCAAAAAGGGGAGCGCCACGAGATACCGATTCCAGTCTGCCGAGCTGCCCCGGAGCAACCCCGGCGAGCTCAATTGGCGCGCCGTTCCGTGTGTGGAGTCCATTGTTGCGGTTCAACGGTCGCTATCTCCGACGGGGGACGCAGTGGAAGCGACGATGGTGAACCATTTCGCTGCGGTGTTTTGCGACAGCGCAAAAAACCTGGCAGCGCAAGACAAAAAGACAGGAGCGTCATTTCCCTCGGGACAGACGAAACTCGTCCCATTTTATTAAAATGTGGATTTTAGCCATGGAAACCCACAGCACCGACCACCAGATTTCATTGCATTGCTGGCCCTGGCGCTCGCAGAAGTCGGTCGGCTTGGCTGCTGCGCGACTGGTCAGTGCCCATGACGTGGCAGCCGAGAATTGGCGACGGGCGCAGAGGCCAGCAGGCGCCGGCGAACAAATCCCAATGGCTGGGCAGTTTGGAGACATTTTGGATGCCCAATGATGTGGACAAGAATTTTCCCCCTGATGCCATTTTACGGCGCGACGTGGCTCGTCCCATGCGCTGTGGAAGACGCCCCGCGGGAACGGCAGCGTCGCCTGGGCACCGTTGACCGCGCAGTCGTGTTCATGCACGTGCACGGTTCAGAAGCGGGACCGTTCTCCACGCTGGCGAACAAATTTTCTTGGATAAGAAAGTTGCGATATCAGACCCCAATTTCCATCAAACTTGGGTGGCAGCCTGCGACTCGCCCTCGACAATGATCATCCCGTGCATCCCGCGGTAATCAGCAGGCCGTGCAGGCTGCCATCCAAGCCTCGAGAGAAGGTCGCCATCGACGAGTTGAAATACCTCGACCTTGAGCGGACGGCAGCACTTGATCATTTCCTCCTCGCTGTTCTCGCCGAAGCCCCACAGCGATAAGTCACCGCCGGGACATGTGCCTGTATGACGTCAGTGAAGCGCCACAGGTTGGATGGACGAAAGAGAAACAGCAAGTAAATATCGGCCGAGGGGCTGGAAAATCTGGCCATCGGAGCACCGCAGTCACCCAGCCAGTCCTTCCTCGACAACCCCGCCTGCCTGCCTGCCACGCCACTTCTCTCACACCCAATTGGACAACAGGGAACAAACCAAAGGCAAAAGCGGCGGGGAAGACTCACTCAAGGCCATCAAGACATCCTGCTCCGCCAGAAACTCGATGAAATCCCCCTCCCTCGCAGGGCAAGGACTCATATAGTACCTCCCCTTCGCATCCAGCCCCGTCACCTGAAACAGGTTGATCACATCGTGCACGTCACTCTCGGCCAGTCCAAACGGGAGCACCGCCCGCGTGAGGTTGCTGTGGCAGTGAAAGTCGTACTGGTTCCCGTTCGACAGCACGCTGCGGATGTAGGGATCGCAGCGGGTTCCTAGGAGGTCATGCACTCTGTTCGATGTCAGTCACGCGAACAAAGACAAAGGGGTTCGACTCCTACCTCCCGCCCTGCTCGTTCTTGCCGTACCAGGCTAGCGAATCCCCGATGATGGTTACTAAAGGTCGCATATAAGGCAGACATGACCATAGCCTGTCGAATGTCGAGACGTGGGATGCCTGTTTGGGGTTAGCCACTCACGTTCAACCGGGACGGTCCGCATGCACTGCAGTGGACGAGTGGGTAATCATGAACTCACATGCAATTGCCTAGTCCTCGACGCCCAGAACCTCTCCCTCGGGTTGTCCGCGTTCCAGATGTTGAGGTCGCCGACCTGTGCTCCCTCGGGGGTGCTGATGCGGATGATGCTCCCTGCGGGAGCTTTCCATGCACGGCCGGAGCGGATGGGGAGGGTGAACTCCTGAGAGAGGGTGCGCGGGGCTTGGGCGATGGCTGTGTAGAGCGCTTGGTCGACGGCAAGGGGGGAAGGTGAGGACGTGGCGAGGTAGGCTGGGACAGGTTTGGGAACAGGAGGGCGTTGGGTGGGAGGGGAAGGAGCAGACATGTTGGTGAGATTGGCTGGTGAGTTCCGGTGAAGTTGCTGATACGAAGGTGAGTGAGATCAGACCCCTCAATTGATGAGTGTCATGGATCGGGCCGGCCCCGCTTTTATCTCCGGCTGTTCGGCGGGGCTCGCCGATCCCTCGGGGTCGATGTCCGATCGGAGTACAAGCCCCTGAATTGCAGTGCGACATGAGATTTTCAGAACTTCTGCTACTACATGACACAACGCTTCGTCGCCCTATCTCGACGCCTTGGGGGCCCACGGCACATTTCCAGACAGTTTCCCATGCATGTCCTTCAGATCAGGCTTGTAAATACAGCCTATCGTTCGCGCCGCGTCTGCTTCGCACTTCCGGTACACGAACCCGGGGTGGGCCACACGCACGGGGGCAAAGCCCGGGGTTGCGTGCGATTCCCAAAACTTGTGCGTGTTGTAGCGCGAATTAGCCTCCGCGTTGCCGACCATCTTCCAGCTTGTAAACACGAGGGCGCGCGCAGATGTGCCCGGCGCCTTGACAACAGTGAAGGCGTAGTCGGTGTAGCAATACGGACAGCTTCTCCTGAGTTGATGTGTTAGTAGCAAGTTCAAGGTACCGTGAGTCAATATCACTTACACCTCCCCAGACCGGACGTTTGCCGCACACGCGCATCCCAGCCTGTGAAAGAGCACGCACTGCAACCTCGGGTAATCTCCGATTCCAGGCATGTCCTCAGTGAGGCTCCCAGCGTCTGCTAGTCTGCAAACATCGGGATCGTCAATCGGGACTTGAAAGTTGGCCATGTCGACGTGCTTTTGACGAAGACTCAAAAGCGAAAGCGCAGAGTGTCCCGCCGAATGCGGCGGCTCTGTCCACTCGGGCGCCTTCACCATGAGGAAATCCAGCTCTTGATCCCATCTGTAGTGTTTGTAGATGGCTTCGGCGTGCTTGATGGTGTGGTTGATCTCGTAGAGGGTGCGGAGCGTGGGCTTCTTCTGGCCCTCGGTGAAGGGGATCCAGACGTCTTCTTGTCGCATGTTGACCGACGCTTGGAGAATATCTCGGTCTACTCGGAGCCGCGTGTCGGAGAAGCCGCGACCTTAGGATTGGTTGAAGGGGCGACTGAGGTTGGCGGCGAGGTTCAAGGAGAAAGTGTGGTACTCGGATCCCCATTCGGCTTTCTTCCAGAGGAACTCAATGTCCTTGTAGCTGGGGATGCGGCATGGAAGGGGAGTGAATGGCGGTGCGGCCTTGTACGGTGTATCATTAGTATCAGTATCCGTGAGATCCCTCTTGTGAGTCAGTGCTGATGCCGGGGCTTCATCGTGATGCTGCTGCTCATAGTATGGCGGCAATGTTTCGGCGCTCGACTTGGTTGAGCTAGAACATGAATCTGACTTTGGGAGTTCAGCAGTGACGGCCGATGTAGTTGAGGGTCCGGCAATGGCGGCCAATGGCTGGTGACGTTTGGACTTGAAGAAGCCCATTGTTTCCTGGTTTGAGAATTTGGACATGTCTGGCCCGGGAGAGTCACCTTCTGCAGGTGTGCGGGTAGGGCTTCATATTTATATCCAGCTCCGGAGCGCCTCGGGGCATCAGTCGCAGTCCTACGGACGCGGAGAAAAGCCAAACTCAGTGTCGGAAACGGCCGTAACACGGGCTGACCGCAACGGACCGGCGCCGCTCGAC